GGCTGCAGGCTGTCAAGTGTATTTGAAAGCGTCAGAGAGCTGTGAGTAGAGTGGCAACTGTCCGGGTCAGTGACCTGCAGCCTGGGCCTGGCGCTTCATGCCTTTTTGCTATTCCTGCAGCGCCACGCACCTCCTGCCCTGAAGGCGTATGATGTCCGCGGCTTATTTGTGGTTCCGGTTCCTGGCAATTTTCCACAGTGGGCTGGCAGTGGCCACTGTAGAGAGGTTGCGATGTCTTCTGTGCTGCTCGTTTAAGTTATGACATCTCCCTCAGATGCCAGCAGTGTTTTCAGGCATGGCAGAAATGAGTTGTTACTTTTTTTATTTCCGGTCAGCTGAGACTGATTATTTACCTTCTCATCATTATCGGCAATTCGGGAATGAATAATGCATGGATTACTTTAATTCTCACCTCAGAATATATATTTGATTAATAAGACATATATAGTACCACTTTCATGACACGTTTACCTAATTGGTGAGAAGCAGTGAAATAGTAGCACTTCCAGTTGAGGCCAATGTGTCTGCTGAGGGTCCCAAGTAACATGTGGCCCTAGGCATGCACTGGGCAAAATGACAGGCAGTGTGGTACAACCGAGGGGGTCTTGGGAACAGGGCTCATGTGTGTCTCCTGTAGCCTGTCTCCAGATCCTTTGTTAATTGCTTGCTTTGAATTCACCAGTTAAACTTTCCAGGTGATCTGAAAGGGTTTTTTTTTATCTTATTTTGTTTTGTTTTTGAGTCAAGTTCTTGCTCAGTTGCCGGGGTTGGAGTGCAATGTGGCATGATCACAGCTCACCACAGCTTCTTCAACCTCTTGGGCTCAGGCGGTCCTCCTGTCCCAGCTTCCCAAACTGCCAGGATTACATGTGTGAGCTACCACTCCTGGCCGGATCTGAAAGTGTTAAGGAACTGCTGACTCTGAATTTGTTTTGCCCTTTGTAATTCTGGGTCCTCCTGAGGACAACAGCCGGAAGGAGGGGACTCCCACTTATAAACAGTCTTTGAAGCTCCTTGTTACAGTTGAGAGTTGATGGGTGAGGGCAAATGGGAGCCCTGTCGCATCTTGAAGTAACGCATGAGGTGTGGACGTCGAGTAAGCTGGGTGTGGTGCCAGATTTCAGCCTGTAGACACTTCTAGCACCCTTCACAGGAAACAAACCACCATGAGGATGTTGCTGTGAAGCTTGGACTGTGGTTTGCAGATTACAAGGAGACAAAAGATCATCCTTGTCTACAAGTTGCACACATCTTGTTTTCAGTTTTTAAATAAATAAAAAATTGGTGCACATTTTTGGTGCTAACACTTTCAGGTTGTGAATAGATCTCTCCAATTAGCCAGGTATTTCCAAATACCCAAAACTGTCCACTGAGAGCTGCCATTTATGTGATTTATTACATGGTACACATTGGGTGTTTTTCGTTATCTTTTGGAGTCTGTCCTATTTTTTGTAGTTAGAAAATAAGGCCTAAGGACTAATCGAGAAGGGTTAAAGCAGGTTCCTTAAATCTTTTGGATCTGGCCGGGCATGGTAGCTCACGCCTGTAATCCTAACCCTTTGGGAGACTGAGGCAGGAGGATTGCCTGAGCCCAGGAGGTCGAGGCTGTGGTGAGCTGTGATCACTTGTTTGTCTTGGTTTTAAAGAAATAAGAAGATTAGAGCTCTAGAATGCCTAAAACAGTCACAAGACTGTAGAGTTTCTGGCATTCAGGCTAGTCCTGAGTCTTGAGGGGACTTGGCAAGTTCACCTTGGCCCCACCTAAACAACTAGGAAGTATCCTCACTACCACGTCCTGTGGAAACATGTGCTTCACATGCTTTCAGAGGAGTAGGCACCACGTGACTCCTTCTCACAGGTTTGACGAGACGTTCGTGCCTTGTATACCAGAACTGTGCTTTCTGGCATAAAAAGGGAAGCTTTCAAATCTGTTTAACTGAAAGAGCTTAACTGGCAGCATCTGCAGTCTCACTGCATTGCCTCACTAGAGCTACTGTGAAATGTTTGAGATCTATCTGGGGCAGATCAGTCTAGATAAAATCTTGAGGAGCTAATTTAAGAGCTGTCTCAGACACCATATGGTGAGATGGAACAGTGATCAGCTGAAGTGGAGAGTCCTTTGAAATGTCTTAGGTCAGACCCTTCTACTACTCTGAGGGAAAGGTGTTGTCCGTCTCTCTTAGGTTGTGGTCTGTTTATGGACCACTTCTCTGGCACTGGGACCATGTCCTGTGCGTATGTGAGAGGGACCAGGGTCCTGACATGGCTGGGCGCACCTCACCTTGAAGGTCAGGTGCCGGCGACAGCTGGATGAAGACTGAGGGATTACCCAGCCGTGCTCAGGACCAGCTTATGTTCACAGCCCAACGCCTAGCCAAATGGCTGAGGGCGTTAAATCATTAGTCTGTATCTAGCTAGTGGAGGTTTAAAAGAAAACTCGGTTTGCTAACCAAAAAAATGTGAAAATGACCTACTACGAGCTAAAGAAGGGTCATCCTTAAGTAGAGCCCATCCACGCCTACAGACTTCATTACAGGGAACCAGAGTTGGTGCAGCCGTGGGATTTGTACCACTCCATTTTATCTACTCTGACCTTTAAACAAAAGAGAACTCCACCTGTAGAATACGGGCCAAAATAACAAAGCTAAAACCAAATCACAAGGATCATGGCATATCCAGGGAGGAAAACCATGCTGTCATTTAACTTCACACATTATAAGAATTTTGTGGAAGTGGCAAAAGGTTGACAATGAATTGTTAAATGTTTTTAAAAATAGTTACAAGAGAATGTGTACAGAATTGTAACCTTTTTAAAAAATATATATTCTGCATACAAATATAATATGTGCAACTTTTTGAGGATAGAAAGACTCACTAACATATTTTAACAGTGAAATTTTCTCTGTTGTCTGAATACTGGGATTTTGAGCAATTTTTCTTTTTTGTATTTAAAAGAAATAAGTTTCTGCAGTAAGCATGTATGTATATATTTTATTAATTTTATAGTTGAGTAAGATGTAGTCTGGGCTAACAAGTAAAAGCAATATAGTTTTTTGTTTTGGCTTTTTTTTCTCTGCAGTTCAGGCTTTTTATAAACTTAGGTAGGCCTCAGTATTAATTAAGATTTTTCAAAGTTTGTGCTGCTAACTGGCTGCACAAATTGTTTGCTGCAATGTAGCCACCGATTTCTTCTCTGCCATTCTGTGTGGGGTGCTCAGGGCACAGGAAGCAATGACAAGCGGTTCCATGTTGCTATGGGTTGGCCGTGCTCTTTACAGTTCAGTGCTTTCAAGTCGTGTGTACGTGCTTCCAGGAAGACCCGTTTGTCTCAGCAGAAGACAACTTGCCTACACTTCATGATGCATGTTCCCAGTCTTGTGTCTTCACCGCCATCTCTGACCTGCAGTTTCCAGTCTTGAAGGGCCTTCCCTCACAAACACCGTTTCCTGCAGGGCTTTCGCTATGGGAGACTTAGAGTATCCTGGCCAGGATCTTCACTTCAGGGACCTTAAAACAATTCTAGCACACCTGTCATCGTGTGGCCCACTTAGTGCTTTGCTCACCATGGCCACGTTTTCTTACTGTTGTTTGTGAATGTCTTTTCCAAGAATCAGGACACTTATCTTGGCAATAATTATCCTAATAATTATCCTATCTGTTGACTGCTTACCGAATGCCAGAATCTGCACTAACACTTTGCATACATTACTTCATTTAAACACCCTCAGGTACCTAAAATTATGAAAAGTCATTGCTACTTTTTTCCATTTTATAGACAGAAAAACTAAGGCTTTGGTTTTCAGCAAGCTAGAATGTAAAGTCAAAATCCGCAACACTAAAGGAAGAACCAGAATCATGACCCAGTAACTAGACGTGCTCTCCCAGAGAGGGCTGAGTGTCCCAGGGATGGCAGGACATCCTCACAGCCCTTCTGGCTCTGCGGTCTATGGTGGCGCCACTCCATTGTTCCAGCCCTATGTGAACAGAACAGTTCCACAATCCCTTGCACACCACATTCATAACTCATAACGCTTGGGAGGATGGTCACTTATTAACCCCAGATTTCAGAGGATCATACTATCATGGCCAGTGCCTTATGTTCCTGCTTTGACACTGTTTCTGAGTGTTATGCCTTGTGTCTAATTTTATTGGTCCTGAAATTGGTAAAAGGTCTGATGTTCTGAATACCTCCCCTGCCCCTTGCTGGTTCATAGTAACAACAGGAGCTGCCATTCACTGAGTATTTACTGTTTTGCCAAGTGCTTCACAGGAAGTGATCCCATGAGGTGGGTGTGTTACTTTGCCATTGTACAGATGGAGAAGCTAAGGCTTAGTGAAGTTAAATAACTTGCCTCATTTTATATACCTGTTTGTTCATTGGCCTGACAAAGAAGTACGTTGGAGGTTGGAATCCAGTGTTTCCACACTCTGGTTTGAACCAAGAGTCTGTTAACACTCTCAAGAGAGTGTTAATCGCCTTCTCTTGCTGCTGTCATATCTTTGGGCTAATTGCCTACTGTACTTCTGTGTACCAGTTTTGGGTGTGATGATATTCATTACCTCAACACTGTGATGTGGATTAAATGAGCTACTAAGTGGAAGATGCTTAGAATAGTACTGAGTATTAGGTACTATAGAAATAGCCACAATTAGTAATAATATTATTTGCTGGATTTTAATTTTTGAAATAACATCTAAAAACAGTATAGAAGTATACCAAGTAAAACTTGCCCCCTCTCCCCCTTCCTGCTTCCTCTCCCCGCCATTAACTGCTTACCCCAGTTTAGCATGTATCCTTCCAGAATATTCCCCATGCCATTTAAAGCTTGAGCAGGGGTGAGTGGAAAGGTGGGGGCAACAGACTCCATCACTGGCCAGTGCCTGTTAAATGCCTGCATGTGCCCAGCACTCCCTAGGGTGCTGAGGAGTCGGCATCCAGCGTGGTAGGTGTTGAGTTCTGGTTTTGAGCGTGTGTTGATTTTCTTTTTTGGTTTGTTTAGGATATGATGTTTCAGCTTCTCCGAGGTCTGGACTTTCTTCATTCACACCGAGTAGTGCATCGTGATCTGAAACCACAGAACATTCTGGTGACCAGCAGTGGACAAATAAAACTGGCAGACTTCGGCCTTGCCCGCATCTACAGCTTTCAGATGGCCCTGACCTCCGTGGTAAGTGAGAGTGTGCTTGTCCTCCTAGTCAGTGTCGCTTCCTCTTTTGAATGGCAAATGCTCCCTTCAGTCCCGGGCTGTTCCTGCCCTTGGTTTGCTGGTGGGCAGACTATCTCTGCTGTTTCTCTTGCAGCAGAGGTGAGGGATTTGTACTGCTTACAGCTGCAGACATATCCAGTCTGGACCTGCTGTGTACAGGACCCATTGCCAAAGTGGCTCGGCAGGGACCAGGAACATGTTTCCAAGTGCCTTTGGCCATCATCACTGTCTTCAGAGCAGCCTGTGTCTGGGACTGTACTCACAGGCGGGAAAGAGCACCAGCAGTGTGGGCCTGTCCACAGAGTCCCAGCAGAGAGGTAGATGGGTCTGCCCAGGTGCGAGGAGGTGCTCCTCTGAAGCATGGTGCCAGCTGCAAGGGAGAAGAAATTAAATCTAGTGGGGGGGGAGGCCACGCCAGGATGGAAGGAGTGTACCTGAGAGCCCTGCTTCAGCAAAGAATGACAGCTATTTCGTCCTGTCTGTTTTGTCTCATTCAGATGCAAAATCATAATAGCTATTGGCCTTGGTTAACTTCCATTTCTCCTTGTAATTTATTGCTTCTGAGATGAATTTTTGTGAAATTCTACACCCAAAGTATAAAAAGAACAAAAGTAGGTATTAATGCCTTTCTCTTTGAAAGACTTATTTTCTTGTAGTAAATGTATGTCTTCCATACAGTAAACTAAGGAAATTATGGACAGTAAATGAAGCATTAAGTAAAAGAATCCACACAGTCTGTCTCTAGCCTCAGAGCGGCTCTCAGGCCAGGACAACCCTGCCCTACTGCTGAGAAAGTCTTGGCCTCTTGGTGGGGGAGGAGGCCTGCTGCCACTTCCTGTAGCTGCTTCAGGGAGACTCACATGCTGTGCAACCAAAGGTCGTTCCCCTAGCTTCTGCGAATGCCCCAGCTGATAAGTAGACTGGGGAGAGGATGAGAAACTCTCCCAGGCAGGTTCCTTGCCCTAGGAAAGAGCCCAGCTTGCACAGCCCCAGGGGACTGGAACTTCTGCAGGGCCTGCCTTGGGAAAGGTTGCCCCTGGCTGCTGCTTTAGAGCAGAGAAGGCAGAGCTGGTGTGGAAGCCAGGCCTTGGCTTTAGGCGGGGCCTGGCAAGTCCTGTGTTGTTGCAGAACCTCCAGAAAGGGCTGAGGTGGGCTCGGGCCCTGGGGAGAGATGTGGGTGGGATTGTGATCTGGGAGTCAGAGGGCGTGGATGGCAGGAACAGGCCTCCCCCAGGGTCCAGTGACTGAGGGAAGGATGCTGAGGGAAGGATGAGCTGTAACTGCCACAGCCACCGTTTCAGTCCCCCAAATAGGTACTAATAGCCAGACATGAAAACAGGAAACCCAGTCCAGTTTTGTTTGGATTTTTTTTTGCTTACTAACTTTGAGGAACGATAGCCTAGCTTGTGCATAACATTCCATTCTTGCTGAAAGTTGATACATTCAATAGGAAAATGCACTCAAGTCATTTCATGGAGAAAGGGGAAAATGATCATAATACATGACTTTCTAGCATCTGGTTTATGCTACACACTCTGCATTTCCTGTGTTGCCATGAATAAAAGACACTAGCAGCTGAGAAAGTCACTACAGAGTGCCTACAGTTTAAAATTCCCTGTAGGGTGCTGCATTTAAAATTTTTCCCACAGTTTTACATTTTTCTACCTAAAGGAAAAAATCCACTTAATATAGTAATGCATTGTTTTACATATACAAGGTCACTTATAAGAATTTGGAATCCTAGTTTTTCAGACTGGATTGGTATGTATTTTTAGTATCTCTTGAAGAGAAAAAGATGACATTCCCCTTCCTGGAAATACACATATTTTAGTGGGTTATGTCATACAGGAACTGAGAATCAACTTAGTTTGCAGAATGTTACAAGGAATTACAAGTTAACGGATTCGAAACTGACACTCAACAGCCGTGAGAAATGCTAGTATTTTACTTGCCTTTCAAGGCCTGACTCAGGGGCACACCTTACAGAAATTAATCGTGTGACATGTAGTGGTGGTACAGCTGACTCGTCTCAAGATAAGGAAATAGAGGTAGTCAGCACTCTAGACCCCACCTGGTGGCCCAGGCATCTAGGAGTGGGACAGTCACCACGCTGGGATTGGCAGCTCTGGGAGGAGCAGTCTCTCTTCCCATTGAGGATGTCACATCTTTCATTTTGTCTTTTCTTCCGCCTCTCTGTGTGGCCTGCAGGGTGATGCCGTTGCCATTGGCATCTGCATTTGGCTCTCTGTCCACAATCTCAATTTGAAAGCAGGAAGCTGCATTCACATGAGCAACTGTGATAGGGTGAGTCTGGGTTCCCCAGATAGAATGCATGTAGCTGGAAGACCGCAGCACTCAGATTCCGGCTCCTGCCTGAGCCCCTGCCCCTTCCTTCCCACAAGAGGGGCTGCAGACTGCTCTGTGTAGCTCTTGGTCCCTGCAGTGGGTATCCAGAGGGTCCACAGATGCTCAAGAGCTTATTCTTTAAAATACATTTTGAGTCTTGTAAAGTGGTAGTTAAAAAACAGCCCATGCCAAATTTTGACACACTGGGCACACTGAGACATGAACGACTGCCCCTGTTTCTTTTTTTATGTAGACTTCCAAATAAAACTTACTCTGCCACCTGAATATCTCATGAAGGTGCTGTTGCTTAGGAAAGGTCCAGTGCTCTCGTCCATGCTTGTGTGTCTGCTCCTGACAACTCATCAGGTGGATACTCACGTCGGCACATGCATTGCATGGCACTCAATGTTACAGGAGCTTGCTGTGGGGGCTACCCAACACAGCTCCCATGTGAATATTTTTATACCCAGATGAGATTGCCATCCCCCAGGCCATTGGAGCTAGCCATGCCCTAGGATGGCCCCTGTAAAGCCACCATGTACAGAGAAGCCTGTACTCCATAGTGAAGTCACTCTTTCTGGCACCTACATAACTTAACCTCCTGGGTGAAGCCCAAGACTGGCCTGCCTAAAACCAACTCGTACTGTGCACTGAACAGTCTTACAGTGGCTTTTCAGTGTATTTCTGGGCCTTTTGCAATCATCTAATGGTGATCATGAAGTGAGCATTTCTCCTTCAGATACCAGTGCCTAACCCACATAGTTTAAAGAAAAAGTCCACTCCATGCCTTCATGGGGGAGTGCAGATGTTCTCCATCTTTTTAGTGACTTGATAAAATTTGTGTAAGAGAATTTGTTCTCCTCCAAGGGTCATTTTGCATATTTTCTTCACTATGAAAAGATAGACATGTTGTAAAAACATTCTGTAGAAAGCATCAAAATGAAACAAGTAAATACTAAACATGGGAAGACTTTTATTAGACAACTGTACCAAGTAAAAAACTCATTTCGAGGTTTTTTTAAAAATCTAGAACTAATGAGTTCCCAAATTGCTTTATTTAAGATCATTAACTAATCTAATGCCACAAGTATTACAAAACTTGGAATAATTACATTCCTTTCTTACACCTCTGGCAGTAGATGGTTCCTTGCTGTAACCTCAGTGTTAATAGTGTTTAGGCACAAAGGACTCCTTTGCCTTCCGGAGAGGCCTGGGGAGGAAATTAACAAAACAGACCTGTGGCTTTCACAACAGATAGCTGCTGCTGGCTCTCCACGTGCCACGTGCGTTGCTGAACCTGAGAGAGGATGGGGAACAGAAATGAACTGGGTCTCTGCCCTCAAAGAGCTTACAAGCCACATGGGGAGAGAGACTTGAGTCAGACAGTCTCACAGACATGTGCAGTTAGCAGCAGAGATAAGGGCCTGAGGGAAGGGACATAGTTCTCCAAGCCTGAATGCTGCAACCTAAGATCTGCTGAGGCTAGAACCAGGATGTGGGGTCCTGGGGTGACCCAGCATCCTCCCTTGGACCTGCCTGGCTGTACCATGGGTTTGCACCACCCAGTCCATGTTGTTCTCAGGGTGTGTGTTTGGAACGGCTCACTGTGTGGCACCCAGTTGGCACCACCGAGTGACAGAGGGAAGCAGGACTGGCGATCGGAGAACAATGTCATCTTTTACAGGAGAGAGTAGATTGTTTGTGCTTGTTTCCTCTCTGCATGCTGTGTTTACTGTGGAGACCTGGCAGGGCCTGGGCCCCAGCTCCCACAGAAGCCTCCAGTTGCTGCCAGAGCACACGGAGTGAATCAGCCAGCAGCAGGGCATGAGCATCATGGAAAAACCCCGAGCCCCGTCGCCTCAGTGCCGGCAAGAGTGCGGGCCACACCTCTGGGGAGGAAGGCCTGTGCCTCCTGCCCTCAGCCCACTGTGCTGGTCAAGCTTGCAGAAGCTTCCCGCTGCCAGCACGTATTTCATGGCCCACAATGGGCCATTTGTGCCGGTTTCATTTTCGCTTTCCCAGGGGAGGGAAATGGAACACAATGGGGCAGTGCGGGAACAGGACCGTCTTCCTAGGATTCCCAGGCACGGGCAGGGAAGGGTCCCCGCCAGGACAAACCCACAGACCTGGCCAGACCCCTCACTGCACCATCTTGGATTCAGCTGCCAGGAGTGCCATCTAGGGCTAGCTCTCTGTGCCTGTGCCCAGAGGGAGGGAGTCACAGTGGACGTGTATGGGGGTCGGTGAGCACGTGCAGGGGTCAGTGGGTGCATGTGAGGGTCAGTGGGTGTGTGCGGGGTTGGCGGGCCTGTGCAGGGTGTCAGTGGGCACGTGCTGGGGTCAGTGGGCACATGTGGTATCTCCTCGCACCCAGTGCACCCATGAGCTGGTTACAGCGCAGCTTCCTGGTTGTAAGAGGCAGCTATACATCTGACTCACTCCATTCTAGCTTCTTCCTAAGTGGCTATTTTCGTGATTCAGTCTGGACGGAGACAGTGACCGGTGCACCTGTCTGGAGGATGTGTCTCACTCCTGAAGGGCAGATGTGCCTCACTCCCGGTGTCTGTTCTGCCCGCATGTCCTGTCAAGTACCACATAGAGAGGGTCCAGTCTCC